AGCAAAACAAGATACGTAAGTAGAAGTACAAAATGTCCAGCAGGATATGCAAGTCCTAAAAAAACAGAATGTAAAAATATATTCCAAAAACAAATCAAACAATTGACCACAGTCACAAAGGCAGTAAGTTAACCTACTAAAAGAAGAAAACAAATAAAAAGTATAAGCAGTGACAAATGGATTTGTTGGAACCTGTACACATCCTATGACTGTGATTTATTTCCTCCAATCAGCTACATCAAACTTGCTTTTAGCTGAAAAATTCAAACCAACAGTGGAAAATTCTCTTAGGATTGAAACACATGAAAATGAATATAAGTACTTTAAAAAAACATTTAAAAACAATATCAACAAAAAAATACCAAGACAAGTGTAATGATAAAGTGGTCATTCAGAATGACTTTTATGACCCCAGATGAAATGAAAGTCATTCCATGCATTATAGAGCATGTAACAAGAATAAAACAAAGCCATATATATATAAAACACTTCTCAATAGACCAAATTCACTTCTTATATTATATTCACAATTCTGTATTGTTATTTTGTGCCTTGATATTCTCACATAGGGTTCTTGACCTCTGACCCCAATATTTCAAACATTCAATCTGCATTGCTGAGATACTTTGACATGTCATGAAGTACTGAATGAAGAAATTTTTTTTGCTAAAACAACTAGTTCGAACACTCAAAACTGTGAATTTGGGATAATGATAAACACTGAAGGAATTCACTTCTTATTTACTTTCGTCACTGGAGGATTAAATTTATTTGTTTTTGGAAATAATACTGTAAAAAATTCAAAATATTCAAACAGAATCATAATATACATAACACTCTCTTGTACTTAAATGTGGACAAACATGTTATATTTACACAAGAAAAACATCTTTGTTTTTGTATGTAAAATTACCTCTCTGGATGTCTAAATTGACCACCCTTTGTTCTGCTGACCCATTGACCAAAAACTGATGTAAAGAAAAATTAACTTTTTTCTTTGTATTTCAAGATGATACTACTTTAACTCTGATAATGACTTACATCTTGCCAATCCTACTTTGAAAATGAATGCGACAAAAGTTAACAGAAGAAAACTTACCAAGTTTCCAAGCTTGCCAACATGACACAGGCCAGCAGCTGACACTGAAGATATTTCAACATTGAAAAATCAATAAAATTAAAGCTTTAAATGTGACTAATTTTAAAACATGATAATAAAATAATATTTCCATATAAAAAATATTAAACCTCAGGCAAAATATGCACTTAAACAACCAGTATGAATATGGGGAAAAAAAATCAAAATTCGTAACTATATTTTAAATATGAAAACTCTTTCTCTAGCACTTAAAAAATAACAGAAAAAAGCTTTAATTATCTCAATTACACGAAACCGTTAAATTTCTGTTTTTGCGATATCATGTCAATTAAAGATTATTAGATACAGAAATGATAAAAAAATTTAACCACTAATTTGTTCTAAAATTTTACAAATTTTTCCTGATGAATTTCTATTGTAGGATAAAACACGGGATGAAATTTCAAATTTGTAATCTTGCGAGAAAGTGAGTATATATATATATTCACTTTTAGGTTATGCAAGTTTATTTGCCAATAATAATAATAATAATTTTACAAGTTTCTTGAAAAAAATTAATCAATCCAACTGACATTAGAAGTACCATAAAATTTGTTTTCACACACAAAAAAATCAGTTTCTAAGTTTTAATTTTTCTTGACTTATATGTGATACTATTACTACACTTGTCACGTAATACTATTACTACACTTGTCACGTGATACTATTACAACATTTGTCACATGATACTATTACTACACTTGTCACGTGATACTATTACTACACTTGTCACGTGATACTATTACTACACTTGTCACGTGATACTATTACAACATTTTGTAGTAATAGTATCACGTGACAAGTGTAGTAATAGTATCACGTGACTTTGTCACCTGGCTATATTTTAGGAACAATAAACGCAACTCTGGAAATAACAATTTTACGGCAATATAGTTAATTTTTCCTATTTTTTATGGAAAAATTCACGTATAAAAACGTGTTGGGTTCAGATTATATTTTACACAAACAGTCTTGACAAGGCCTTTAATGATGTCCAAAAGATATGTCATAGCAAGGAAACATTAAACAATGGTTCTCCATTTGACAAATCACTATTATTGGATCTTAAACTATTAACCTTAAATATGACTTGTGTTCTTTAGAGTCTTTTTAAGTGGTCAAAATTCAATTCACTTACATTGGGTAAGTGCTCCACCAATATGTAATATCTTTATCTCTTGCAGATTCTGAACAAACAAACAAGGTAAGCTTTTTTATTCCTGCTTTACATTTTTATATTAGTTAAGCTCTATAATTCACAAAATCAAAGGATTTCTTCTGTAACAAAATGCTAGAACTAATTTTAAATGAAGCAATTTATATCCAATAATTTTACTCGGTTATTACTATAATTTTACTCGGTTATTACTATAATTTTACTCGGTTATTACTATACTTTTACTCAGTT